GAAGCCTAGAAACCCTTTTTATAAGCCATCTTCGTAGCGAAGAAATTCGCATCGAATCGAATTTCATACTGGAATTCGCCGAATCAGCCGAATCGAATTTTTCAATACTTCGCTCATCTCTATTTATAACCAAAAAAACATTTTTATTTTATTTTTTTTTATATTATTATGGGTTTTTTTTTTACATACTGTCACCCTAGCAGTACAGTGTCACCATGGTGGCACTGTACTACTTGTGGGGGGTGATGAAGATTTTTTTTATTTTACACTGATTGCTTTTACACCCATAAAGGCTGTAAAAGCAATCATTTCTCCTTCTCTCTGGCTGCATTCTTGCAGCCATTGAGAACTACTGTGTGAGCTGTAATTGGTCACAGCTTGTCACATGGTACAAGGCTGTTGTGAATAGCCTTGTACCATGTGACCTCTGTGATCATTCACAGATTTCACACGTAGTAAGCAATGATGTCACAAGTTATATCTTGCTTACTACTCTGCATGTGATTACTGATTGGCCAATCAGTGATCACATGATCGGGACCTCGTCCGACGATCGGTGTTCCACTGTGTCCGGAGGGAGGGAGCGCGCACAAGCAGGGGGTGGGGAGGCTGTTTATAAGCTGCCACCCGACCCTGCACTGCCATCGTCTGGCCATTTATATACAACGGCCGGATGGGAGGTGGTTAATATTACAATTGTGTGAAAAAAAAAATGTTAATTTCTTCATTTTCCAAAGCATTGTGAGAAAAAATTACAGGTTCAAAAAAACTCACCATGCATCTTACTAAATACCTTGGAATGCTTACTAAAGGGGTCATTTGGGGGGTATTTGTACTGTCCTGGCTTGTGTCTCAAGAAATGAGATGAGGCCGTCAGTACATCAGCTTTGATCAGGTGTGTTCAATTTCCAATCATTGGTACCATAACTTGTAGACTCTATAACTTCCACACAGACCAAGTAATACACACCGATTGGGATTGTATAGCAGTATACATTTTGGCCCAAATTTACGAAGAAAAATTACTTATTTGCAAAATTTTATAACAGAAATGAATTAAAATGCATTTTTTTTTCAAATTTTTCGGTCTTTTTTAATTTTATAGCGCAAAAAATAAAAATCCAGTGCTAATTAAATACCACCAAATGAAAGCTCTATTTGTGTGAAAAAAGGAAAAAAATTTAATTTGGGTACAGTGTTGCACGACTGAGTAATTATCATTCAAAGTGTGTGAGAGTGCTGAAAGCTGAAAATCGGTTTGGGCAGGAAGGGGGTAAAGGTGCCGGTATTGAGGTGGTTCAATAAGAAATGTAAAGTGATTGTAATCCCTTACATACTGTCTACCCAGTGAAGTGATTGGCCTCAGGTGGTACACAAAGAAGCGAATTCTCGCACATAAGTTGTACCTAGTTATTTGCAGCCATTTGTCCTGCACAACTTTGTAACTATCAGAGATGAAGGATTTTTTACAGAGCTTCAGTTTTATATTATACAGGAGAGCACTGAGCTGATTGGCGGGAAGGGACACCCCCCCCCCCCTCCTCACAGCACACAGGAACAGAGCAGAGGCTGTCATTCAGCTGAAGGTCCCTCCCCATCACCTTTTTTCTCTTGGTTTCAGGAAATATGTGCTTTTTCAGATTTCATGTCTGAGCTTTTCAACCACGTTAAATAAACTAGACTGCAAGCCATTAGAAAGTTCCAAATTCTCTCAGACTGTTTACCTTTAAGCTCACATATACATTAACATTGTATCAGGATACTTCAATAAGGCTGACCACACACTATACCAGGGGTCTCCAAACCTTCTAAACAAAGGGCCAGTTTACTGTCCTTCACACTTTAGGGGGGCCAGACTGTGGACATTGGGAGTAGAAATTGTCCCAGCATCAGTGGAAGTAAACATTGCCTCTTTGGCATTAGGTGGAGGAATAGTGCCCCATCATTGGTATCAGTGGGAGGAATAGTGCCCCATCATTGGTGTCAGTGGAAAGAATAGTGCTCCATCGTTGGTGTCAGTGGAAGGAATAATGCCCCATCATTGGCATTAGGTGGAGGAATAGTGCCCCATCATTGGTATCAGTGGGAGGAATAAAGCCCCATCATTGGTGTCAGTGGGAGGAATAGTGCCCCATCATTGGTGTCAGTGGGAGGAATAGTGCCCCATCATTGGTGTCAGTGGGAGGAATAGTGCCTCATCATTAGTATCAGTGGGAGGAATAAAGCCCCATCATTGGTGTCAGTGGGAGGAATAGTGCCTCCTCATTGGTGTCAGTGGGAGGAATAGTGCCTCATCATTAGTGTCAGTGGGAGGAATAGTGCCTCATCATTGGTGTCAGTGGGAGGAATAGTGCCCCATCATTGGTGTCAGTGGGAGGAATAGTGCGCCGTCATTGGTGTCAGTGGGAGGAACAGTGCCCCATCATTGGTGTCAATGGGAGGAACAGTGCCCCATCATTGGTGTCAATGGGAGGAACAGTGCCCCATCATTGGTGTCAATGGGAGGAACAGTGCCCCATCATTGGTGTCAATGGGAGGAACAGTGCCTCATCATTGGTGTCAGTGGGAAGAATAGTGCCCTATCATCGGTGTCAGTTAGAGGAATAGTGCCCCATTATTGGTGTCAGTGGGAGGAATAGTGCCCCATCATTGGTGTCAGTGGGAGGAATAGTGCCCCATCATTGGTGTCAGTGGAAGGAATAGTGCCCCATCACTGGTGTCAGTGGGAGGAATAGTGCCCCATCGTTGGTGTCAGTGGGAGGAATAGTGCCCCATCATTGGCATTAGGTCGAAGAATAGTGCCCCATCGTTGGTGTCAGTGGAAGGAATAGTGCCCCATCATTGGTGTCAATAGGAGAAACAGTGCCCCATCATTGGTGTCAATGGGAGGAACAGTGCCCCATCATTGGTGTCAGTGGGAGGAACAGTGCCCCATCATTGGTGTCAGTGGGAGGAACAGTGCCCCATCATTGGTGTCAGTGGGAGGAACAGTGCCCCATCATTGGTGTCAGTGGGAGGAACAGTGCCCCATCATTGGTGTCAGTGGGAGGAACAGTGCCCCATCATTGGTGTCAGTGGGAGGAACAGTGCCCCATCATTGGTGTCAGTGGGAGGAACAGTGCCCCATCATTGGTGTCAGTGGGAAGAATAGTGCCCTATCATTGGTGTCAGTTAGAGGAATAGTGCCCCATCATTGGTGTCAGTGGGAGGAATAGTGTCCCATCGTTGGTGTCAGTGGGTGGAATAGTGCTCTGTTGTTGATGTCAGTAACAGGAATTATGCCCCATTGTCGGTGTCTGTGGGAAGAAAAGTGTCCAGAGGGCCGCATCCAGCCCTCGGGCAACAGTTTGGAGACCACTGCACCATACAATCTGAATGTAGAATCTCCTTTAGATTTACCATCAACTATGTAGTATGAAGGCCTGATTAGATAAAATTATACAAAAGGTTGTTTAGGTTTGCTATTCTGGCAAATCTAAAGGAGATTGTACACCAGATTGTATGGTGTATGGCCAGATTGTACCAGTATTGTATGATCAGACTGTAAAGTATATGGCTAGTTTAAAGTAAGTCTAAACCAGGGGCGGACCGACCATTCGAGAACTAGGGCACTGTCCGAGGGCCCGGGGCCAGTAGGGGGCCCCATGAAATGCCCCTGGTACCTTTTTATAGGCCTTTTTTTGAGTGTGTGGGCAAGGACACAGGGGCCCCACGATCCCCTATTGCCTGGGGACCCCATGAGTTGTCAGTCCGTCCCGGTCTAAACCCAAGAACAAAGCAAAGATCAATAGCATTGTAGCTTCTGGTCCTATAATTACTGTTCTATTCTATTACTGTTCTATTATAATACAGACCACCAACCAGGGGTGGACTGACCATTTGGAAACTCGGCACTGCCCGAGGGCCCGGGGTCAGTAGGGGGCCCCATGAGATGCCCCTGGTACCTTTTTTTATAGGCTTTTTTGTTTGGGCAAGGACACAGGGCAGGGGCGGACTGACAACTCATGGGGCCCCCGCGCAATAGGGGATTATGGGGCCCCAGTGTCCTTGCCCAAACTCAAAAAAGTCTATTAAAAAGGTACCAGGGGCATCTCATGGGGCCCCCTACTGACCCCGGGCCCTCGGGCAGTGCCCGAGTTTCCAAATGGTCAGTCCTCCCCTGACACAGGGGCCCATGATCCCCTACTGCCCGGGGGCCCCATGAGTTGTCAGTTTGCCCCTGCAGCCAACTTTTTGTGCCTTACAATATAAATGTGCTGGCTGCATTCATTTTCTTTTTTTATATACTTTTTAAATTGAATTTTAACATAATTCCATCATTAACACATAGACAACCATACTTGTCATCCTTCCCCCCCCTCAGGGCAGGCTATGTTAGGACTACAGAACACATTCCTTTATCCTCCATAAGGGGAGGGGGAGGGGGTTGTAGTCCACACAGATAGCAGGGAACCATGCTATCCCTGTGCTCTTTTCCTCTGGACTGTTATCAGCTCACAAGATTTTTTCTTGTCCAACAGATATAATAAAACTATTTTATTTGTATATTTAATGGACTAACATGCAGCGAATAGGAGAAATGTATTATATGATCTGAGCTGAGTAGAAGAGCAGCAGTCAGACCCCATCTGTCGTCATTGCCATCCTCCCTATAGAGTGGGGTACTGCAGAGCAGCAGTCAGACCCCATTGTCGTCATTGCCATCCTCCCTATAGAGTGGGGTACTGCAGAGCAGCAGTCAGACCCCATCTGTCGTCATTGCCATCCTCCCTATAGAGTGGGGGTACTGCAGAGCAGCAGTCAGACCCCATCTGTCGTCATTGCCATCCTCCCTATAGAGTGGGGTACTGCAGAGCAGCAGTCAGACCCCATCTGTCGTCATTGCCATCCTCCCTATAGAGTGGGGTACTGCAGAGCAGCAGTCAGACCCCATCTGTGGCCATCCTCCCTATAGGTGGGGTACTGCAGAGCAGCAGTCAGACCCCATCTGTCGTCATTGCCATCCTCCCTATAGAGTGGGGTACTGCAGAGCAGCAGTCAGACCCCATCTGTCGTCATTGCCATCCCCCTATAGAGTGGGGTCTGCAGAGCAGCAGTCAGACCCCATCTGTCGTCATTGCCATCCTCCCTATAGAGTGGGGTACTGCAGAGCAGCAGTCAGACCCCATCTGTCGTCATTGCCATCCTCCCTATAGAGTGGGGTACTGCAGATCCTCGCTTCTTTCATCGACTGAGAACAAAGACAGTAAGCAAAGCAGACTGATGACTTCTGACAGCAGATTCCTCCATACAGCACCTTCTCCTGTATTCCAAGCCCCCTCTCCACGTGTGTCACGTGACTGTGATGTCATCAGAGGTCCTTTCTCTTCCAGAAATCTAGCAGCTTCTCTGGGAAAAGAAGACATCCATGTAACCAGCGTGTGGATGCATCATCACATAGAGGGCCATCAGGACAGTCCTGCTGTAGGGGAAGGTAGGGTGTGTATTGGAGAACACAGGGTGTGTGGGGGGCAGAGACAGGGGCAGAGACAGGGGCAGGATCAGGGGCAGGCAGGGGCAGAGGGAGGCAGAGGCAGGAGCTGTTTCAGCACCAGCTGAGCTCACCCATGAACACTGGATTATAGTACCCTCCCCAGTGCGGAGATCTCTGGATGAATGGTGTCTAGCATTTCTGATTGGGGATTTGTACTATGTCTGTGTTGTGCAATCTGTATTCCCATTGCTGCAGGCTAACCTACAACACTGTACATGATCAGGGGCGGACTGACAACTCATGGGGCCCCCGGGCAATAAGGGATCATGGGGCCCCTGTGTCCTTGCCCAAATTTAAAAAAGCCTATGAAAAAGGTAGGAGCATCTCATGGGGCCCCCTACTGACCCCGGGCCCTCGGGCAGTGGCTGAGTTTCCAAATGGTCAGTCCACCCCTGTACATGATAAATGTCATTCCTATCCGTGTGCTCACATTACACTCCACTGCAGTCATGTCAGGGAATGGAGATTGCTGATTACATTCTATTACTTACTATAGCTTGCTCTTTGTATTCATGAATAAGGCTGCCCATACACAATACAATCTGATCATACAATCCTCTTTTGGATCTACCATCAGCTATGTAATGCAATGACTTGCCTGATTGCATTCTAATTGAATGGGTTGTTTAGGTTTTTTTTGGTTGTTTTTGGCCAAATTAAAGGAGATTGTACAATCAGATTGTATAATGTATGTCCAGTTTAAGAGACAGACTGGAGCAGCCAGAATCTGGAGGAGCTGTGCATAGCAACCAATCTGCTTGTAAGTTTCATTTTCAAAGCTTAAAGCGGAACTAAACTCATTGCTTTAAAGTGTTTCTAAACCCCATCCAATGTGTTGACTTATAGTATTGAATTTTATTCATATACCATTAGGGCTGGTTCACACAGTTACATAGTTAGTCTGGCTGAAAAAAGGCAAAAGTCCATCATGTTCAACCGTAAAAAAAAGTTATAATCCTATACCCACAGTTGATCCAGAGGAAGGCAAAAAAAACCAGCAGAGTACGATCCAATTTGCTCCTGCTGGGACAAAAATTCCTTCCTGATCCCCCGAGAGGCAATCGGATATTCCCTGGATCAACTTTACCTATAAATGTTATATCCAGTTATATTCTGTGTATCTAAGAAAGAATCCAGGAATTTCCTACAGCAATCCACTGAGCTGGCCAGAACCAACTCTTGAGGGAGTCTATTCCACATTTTCCCAGCTCTCCCTGCATGGATGCGTTGCTGCATGTGCCTTTTAGATGTGTTACAGTGCATGTTCCTCCTTTTTTTTCTTCACCTTAAAGAAGGACATATGCATTCTGGTTTATTTTGGGTGCATTTAGTTGTGTTCTGGTGTGTTTTAGCGTGTTCCAGTACAGTTCAGTGCAGAAAAAATGCAGCACGTACAACTCTTTTTTCTGGAACTGGAATACACTGAAACTGACCGCACTGGTGCGAACTATGCCATTGGAAACCATATCATTTTCATTTTTAATGTAGAAAAAAAACCGCACTGGACTGCATGTGGTGTGAACCGGAAAAAAAAACGCACTGGACTGCATGTGGTGTGAACTGGAAAAAAAACCCACACTGGACTGCATGTGGTGTGAACCGGAAAAAAAAATGCACTGGACTGCATGTGGTGTGAACCGGAAAAAAATGCACTGGACTGCATGTGGTGTGAACCGGAGAAAAAAAAAAACGCACAGGACTGCATGTGGTGTGAACCAGAAAAAAAAACGCAATGGACTGCATGTGGTGTGAACCGGAGAAAAAAAAAAAAAAACGCACTGGACTGCATGTGGTGTGAACCAGAAAAAAAAAACGCACTGGACTGCATGTGGTGTGAACCGAGAAAAAAAAAAAAAAACGCACTGGACTGCATGTGGTGTGAAAGTGGAACTAAACTCAATTTAACAATTTTCATAAAATCAGGGCTCACTTGTACCATACATGTAGAAAAACTGATGGAAACTAACACGCAGACTTCACTTGCAGAGACATCAGTTTACATCAGTTTTTCATGCCCGTTTCAGTGAGAAACAATCTGCACGTGATACTAGTGTTAGTGTGAACAGGGCACATAGAGAACTATTTTTTTTCCTGTCCTTGCAGAACGCATTCAGAAAAACTGACAACTCTTCACCATGGTGTGAACAATGCCTCACATTCCCAGCACTTGCCGGAAATACTAACTGTCATATCTGCTTGTGTTCTCAACCGAACTGTCAAACCATTAAGATGGCTGGTGTCATAACACATGTGCAGCACAATGGCAGTTGAGGATCAAAGACAGGCTAAGATGTCAGCTTCCTTGGCTGAAAACAATAGGAGGGTTTAGTTCCTCTTTAAGCATCTGGCCCTGGAACTCAGATTTCACTTGCAGAGACATCCGTGTCCATTGGTTTCCATGCGTGCTGCAATGAATTTATGTCCACGTTGCAGATTCTTGCACAGGAAAAAGTTGTGGTGTGAACAGGGCACATAGAGAAGAGATTATTTCGTTGTGCCTTTGGGAGAACGTGTGCAGAAAAACTGACGTCTCTGCCAGGGGCGGACTGACAACTCATGGGGCCCCGGGCAATAGGGGATCATGGGGCTCCTGTAACCTTGCCCACACTCAGAAAAGCCTATGAAAGGTACCAGGGGCATCTCATGGGGCCCCCTACTGACCCCGGGCCCTCGGGCAGTGCCCGAGTTTCCAAATGGTCAGTCTGCCCCTGGTCTCTGCATCATGATGAGAACAAACCCTTATAGCGGAGTTCCATTCACACTGTAAAAAAATAAAAGTCAGAAGCTATAAAAACTGTAGTTGTTGACTTTTAAAAAACAGCCACTTACCTGTCCCTTGGTCCCACAGTGTCCTCCCCGCTGTGCTTCCTGAATGGACCCGTAATCTGCTGGGACCTGTCATGTGTCCCAAAAGACTACGGGGAGGGAGGGTAGGAGGATAACGTCCGCTTCTGATCACCCAGGCGATCACAGCGGAAGTGGGAGCGGGTACCTGTCAATTTTGGGTACCCACTCCCCAAAGGTGCCATTCCTTAATGGGGAGCGGGGGACCAGTCTTTAAATCGGAACTTCCACTTTTGGGTGGAGCTCCGCTTTGAAGTGGAACTAAGCCCATCAATTTAACGGTTTCAAAAAAACTTTACATTCCTGGCACCTGCTGTATTCACAACCAAACGGTCAAACCATCAAATGGCTGGTGTGATAACTGATCACATGTGCAGCAACATGGCCGTTGCAGATCAAACAGAGGCTAAGATGGCAGCTTCCTTGGCTGAAAAGGAGAGGAGGGTTTAGTTCCACTTTAATTCAATTTCTTATATGATTTCATCACTTTTTACTAACAATTGTAAGAAACAGAAATATCACATATGAAATTGAAAGTTTTGGGCTGAATGAGCATTGAGGGCTCATTCACTCTACACTGTATGCACTAACGCATGCGCGTTGAACTGGGAATCATTCACAAACGCACACCAGCCTATCTAGTGTAAATGAACCCTTAAAGCTCAATTTCCGGGAAACTATAAAATTATCCCTTGCATGCATTTTAATTGTTAATTGCGCATTTAGGTCTAGGGGACACAGAAAAACAGATTTACTAATCCGATTCTCCACTTCAGCCAGCTGTCAGACCAGTCTCCACATCTTCTCCCCCTCGCTCCACCATTTGTAAGGTTCTGACCAGGGGCAGACTGACAACTCATGGGGCCCCCGGGCAATAGGGGATCATAGGGCCCCTGTGTCCTTGCCCAAACTCAAAAAAAGCCTATGAAAAAGGTACCAGGGGCATCTTATGGGGCCCCCTACTGACCACGGGCCCACGGGCAGTGCCCGAGTTTCCAAATGGTCAGTCCGCCCCTGGTTCTGACATCATCAGGACCAGTGTAGAGTCCATAGCCCTGCTGGATGTGAGGATGCTGAAGGACAGTCCACTGCTCAAGCATGGGAGAGCACCGTCTGCTGAAGGAGCGGAGGGTCAGGTACGTAAAAGCACGTCTCTCTTTTAGGGCCCTTTCACACTGCACTGTAGCAAAATCTGGGTAAAAACGCATATGCGTTTTTGCCACAATTTTGTTGTGTTTTAGATGCATTTCCAGTGCATTTCTGGTGCATTTTTTGGTTTGCTTGTATTTGAGAAAAATGGACATGTGACCCAAAAATGCACCAAAAATGCAAAACACCGTACGTTTTTGGTGCGTGTTAATGCATTTTTGACACATTTTCTATTCACTTTAATGGGGAGCTGCATTTGTGGTGCATTTTTAAGAACCGCACAGAAGATGCAGCATGCAGGGCGCACCGCATTTACAGTGCAGTGGTGTGAAAAATCCCATAGGATTTAAAGGGAAACCTTTTTCTTGCGCTTTTCTTACAAGGAAAACATACAGGACAAACATATCAGGGTGAAAGGGCTCCCAGACAAAATAGGCAGTGAACCCGTGAAGTGCAGGCACACTTCCACTGCAAGAGATAACAATAGTTTCCTGGAGTTGGGATTTAAAGCATTTGCACACCCAAGAGCTCATTCACACCAAACATGGGAGCCAAAAGCTTGGCTTGGAGTTGCAGCAAGGTCCTGCAATGTAATATTGCTGTTCAGCAGTAGCACCTCCCAAATACCTGTCGGCTGCTATTCTACCGCCCTCTGAAAAGCGATCCACCACAGATTCTCCATTGTCACCTGTCTGAACGGGGCCTAAATAATGTTGGAAATATATTAAATGACTCAACAATTTTTTTTTTTCTTTCTTCAGTGCCATGATTCTGCTGTGCCTCAACTTGGGGACATGGTTACTCTTCATATCATCAGCCAAGGCTAGTCCTGCAGATGAGAGTGCAGCAAGAGGAGGCCACACTGATCAAGGGGACTCTGCTTTGGATGAGAAACACCAGGATACCTATGGCACATTCGCTTCTGAATTTTATGACTTGAGATATCTCTCAGAAGAAGGTCAGTGATTTCACATGTATACCAAGTGCATGTCAGGAGACTTCTTTTGTGTTGGATATGATGGGAAAGGGATAGAGCTTCCAAACCCTTCATTTCCCCCTTCGCTTCTATTTGTTTGCATGTTTGTTGGGGTCATGTTCACTGTTCTATGCACAACACAAATCCCATAGCCCTTAGTCTATAGTTCATCCTCGGAGTAAGCAAGAGAGGGTGGCTACATTCCTATATACAGAGGAACCATGGAGCATGAACGTAGCCACCTTCTAACAGGAAGTCAGACCACAGCAGGAAAAACAAATGGAATTTGGAGGAAGCTGAAAGTAATAGAAGATACTTTTTTGAGTTAAGAATACATACATATTGCGAAATTTGATTGCAGCAACTCAAAATGGTACTCAGTAGTTTGTATGGTCCCCACGTGCTTGTATGCGAGGCTGACAATGTTGGGGTATGCTCCTAATGAGACGGTGGATGGTGTCCTGGGGCATTTCCTGCCAGATCTGGACCAGGGCATCACTGAGCTCTTGGACAGTCTGAGGTGCAACCTGGTGGTGTTGGATGGACCGAAACATGATATCCCAGAGGTGTTCTTTTGGATTTAGGTCAGACGAGCGTGAGGGCCATTCAATGGTATCAGTTCCTTCATCCTCCAGGAACTGCCTGCATTATCTCACCACATGAGGCCGGGCAGTTGTCGTGCACCAGGAGGAATCCAGGACCCACTGCACCAGCGTAGGGTCTGAAAATGGGTCCAAGGATTTCATCCCGATACCTAATGGCAGTCAGGGTGCCATTGTCTAGCCTGTAGAGGTCTGTGCATCCCTCCATGGATATGCCTCCCCAGGCCATCACTGACCCACCACCAAAACGGTCATGCTGAACAATGTTACAGGCAGCATAACATTTTCCACGGCTTCTCAAGACTTTTTCACGTCTGTCACATGTGCTCAGGGTGATCCTGCTCTCATCTGTGAAAAGCACAGGGCACCAGTGGCGGACCTGCCAATTCTGGTGTTCAATGGCAAATGCCAATCAAGCTCTATGGTGCCAGGGCAGTGAGCACAGGGCCCACTAGAGGACATTGAGCCCTCAGACCACCCTCATGAAGTCTGTTTCTGATTGTTTGGTCAGAGACATTCACACAGTGGCCTGCTGGAGGTCATTTTGTAGGGCTCTGGCAGTGCTAATCCTGTCCCTCCTTGCACAAAGGAGCAGATACTGGTCCTGCTGATGGGTTAAGGACCTTCTACGGCCCTGTCCATGTCTCCTAGAGTAATAGCCTGTCTCCTGGAATCTCCTCCATGCTCTTGACTGTGCTGGAGACACAGCAAACCCTTCTGGCAATGGCATGAATTGATGTGCCCTCTTGGAGGAGTGGGACTGCCTGTGCAACCTCTGTAGGGTCCAGGTATCACCTCATGCTACCAGTAGTGACACTGACCCTAGCCAAATGCAAAACTAGTGAAAAACAGTCAGAAAAGATGAGTAGGGAAACAAATGTCATTGGCCTTCACCTCTAAAACCATTCCTGCATCAGCACTCATCAGTTAATTTGACAAAACTCTTTATTTGCATACCTAAATCATCTTTATATTTTTGAGGATATATAAGGGTTTTATTTGGAACACTGTTTTCATTAAAACCCTGATTTGCTTTGTTTATTATAGGCCAATAAAAGCACTTAAAAATCAAAATTAAAATGTTCTGGATTTTTTTTCAATTTGTCTCAATAAATAGTGTAATATTACAATTACTATAGAATTTAATGTAAGTAAATAAAGTGCCTATTAATGTATTAAGTTATGTGTGAAAGTTAGTGGTGACTAGACTTGTATCCACTGTATATTAAGTGGTTCTAGGTGTAAAACAAATTTTAACATTGATGCATTTCCTGCATTAAGATGAAAATAGTTTTACCACTTTCTGTGTGCCCCCTACTCCCTAAATACTCACCTGAGTCCTGTTTCGATCTAGCAGTGTGCCTGGTTGCATCTGTTCTCTCCCTTCTCCCCACTCTCACAAGCTTGGCTGAGAGCAGCGGGAGCCATTGGCTGCTGTCAGATTCTGTGAGGAGGGAGCAGAGGACAGGGCCAAGCAGCGTTGTGTGTGTCTATGGACACACACAGCCCGGCTCAGGAACGAACCCGCAGGTGTGCCTCCATAGGAAGTGGCTCCCTATGGTGGTGGTGCATCAAGAAAGAAAAGGTGCCTAGAGTACCAGTGTGTTACCCCAGAAGAGGAGGTTTGGGGCTGCTCTGTGCAATACCTTTGCACAGAGAAGATGAGAAAAACATGTTTGTTATTTTACAAAAAAATGTAAGATTGCTATCATTCCAAAAATAGTGTGAGCAGGAGTAGAAAGAGTAAGAAACAGAGGGTGTAAGAAGGTACTGACTGCGCCTCATACAAACAGAAGGCTGAGATTAACGACAACATAAAACAAAATTTTCTTTTGTTTTGTAGGATATCCTTTCCCCACTGCTCCTCCAGTAGATCCATTTGCAAGGATACGTGTGGATGACTGTGGTAAAACTAAAGGATGTTTTAGGTCAGTTTCTTACTTGAATAATATTTCAGTATTAAAACTGCAGTTTAGACAAAAATTAATGTTTCTCTTATAGCTGCAACCACAATGCTTGCCTGTAAAGATGTATGTCCTATGTCATGGTAGCTGGATGCTGTGGAAATCTTCTGTGGAGGGTGCTCAGTCCTCTTCCTGGTGATGAATTTCCGGCGCTGAGTTAAAAGCATTGGGTCTTCTGTTTGTCTGTTTTGGTTTACTTCCTCATAAAAAGAGAGCAGATGTATTGTCTGCAGATATGCTGTCTACTGCTTAAAGTATTTTCTACCAAAAACTCTTCTACTGTATGTGGTCTTTTGTTGACCCCTTCCCACCTTCCTCCTTTAAAAGAATCTAAATGCCAGGAGATGGAGGCAGGCGTTCCGTTCATGTGGTGACTGTTGTGATTTTCTATCACAGTGGGTCGCATGAACGAAAAGCTCCAGATTGCAAGTATGCATCGAGAGCTTTCCGGTATCGCATTTGTTAGGGAGTACACCAGGGGGTCCTCAAACTGCGGCCCGTGGGCCACATGCGGCCCGCCGAGGCCATTCATCCGGCCTGCCGGCAGGAGCGTATTTTCCGCGAGGAAGGGACACTAAGTACAGGGGTGGGCAGGGGGGCTGCTGTACCTTACCTGGCTCCGGTCCCAGTCCCACGACGATCCAGTCCAGGAAGCGCTGCTCCTTCATTCACTCCGGCCCCTCCCTCACTCCTGCCACTCGGCTCCGCCTCCTCACCGGTGATTGGGCGCCAGAACTGTATCTCAGGAAAGGCACACAGGCAGCCAATTGCCTCCGAGTGGCCTCGCGAACATCGAGTGAGGGAGAGGCCGGAGTTCCCCCCCACTGACACCCTACCTGACAGGCACTATTCCCCCCCACGGACACCAATGATGGGGGCACACAATCTCTTCCCACTGAAACAATGTTGGGGGTACTATTCCTCCCACTGACACCCAATAGTTGGGACCACTATCCCCCACCCTGACACCAATGACTAGGGCCTCGAATCCCCCGTAACATACACTAAAACAAATCCAATGATGGAGGCACTAACTATTCTTCCCAACTGACACAAATGATGGCCAAACACTATTCCTCCCTCTCACTGACACAACCCCGATTGATGGGGCACTTTATCCTCCCACACTCACAATGATGGGGCTACTTACCTTCTTCCCACTGAACCACTGATTGGGTACCACTATTCCCTCCAACTGACACTAACTGACCACAGCTACACATAAGCATGCTCACAAAACTCCCCCTACTGACCTACCAATGTTTGGACACTATCCCCTTTCCCCCACTGACACCAATGATGGGGCCACTTATTCAGCCCCCACTCACTACCTCTACTAATGATGGGGCACAATTCCTCCCACTGACCACTAATGCTGGGCACTATTCCTCCCATGCACCAATGATGGGGCTGTTTTCATTCTTGACACCAATGAATGGTAGCATGTTTCTTCCTCCACTAGAACCCAACAAAAGATGGGGCAACGATTTCCCCACTGGACAAACAATGATGGAGGCAAGATCAGTTTCCTTCATGAACCAAACTAATGATGGGGCATCTTTCAACCTGACAACCCATCATCCCCCCCCCCCCCCCCCCCCCCTGTACCCTATTCCCCCCCCAACTACACCAACCGCTGGGGCACTATTCCGGAACCCCTGACACCCCAACTGATGGGGCACTATTCCTCCCCCGTGACACCAATGATGGGGCAACGTTTTTCCAACTAAGACAAACCAACATGATGGGGCACAAGATTACCTAACTCCCACTGACACTACCAAATGGGGCACTATTCAACCACCCAAACACACAACGGAAACTAATGAAACAAAACAACGTTTTTTCACCAACACCAATGATGGGGCATACGATTCTACACCCCCCACTGACACCAATGATGGGGCACTCTTACCTACCCCACCACACTATAATGATGGGCACTAAACTTCTCCACTACTGCCCGACACTAATGATTGGCGGCACATCACCAACTGAAACCCAAAAACATGGACACCAATGATGGTGACGTTTTCTTGACAACATTGACACAAACATTGATGGTACTGGTTCTCCCCTGACACCAACGATGGGGCAAGTTTCTTCCACAATGCACCACCCCCCCCCTGGGCCACGTTTCCTTCCCATGGACCACAATGAATGGGGCCACCCCCCCTCCCATCTCCACCATGACACCACATTGATGGGGCACTATTCCTCCCCCCTGACACAATGCTGAGGCCCCCCCATTCCTCCCAGACACCAATGATGGGGCACGTTCCTCTTCCCATTGGGACACCAATGATGGGGCACGTTTATTTCCATTGAACAACTGAATGGAGGCGGCAACACGTTTCTTTCCCAATGACACCAATGTTGGGGCACTATTCCTCCCACCTGACGTACTAATGTTGTGGGCACTATTCTCCCCCTGTACACCAAGATGGGGCACGTTCTTCCCAACGGACACAAGTGATGGGGCACGATTCTCCACAGGACACCAATGATTATGTCCCACTATCCCTTAATCCCTCAACTGACCACCAATTGTTGGGGCACTATTCCCCTCCCCACACTGACACTCTATGATGGAGGCACTATTCCCCCCCACCTGACAACCTCATGATAGGTGCAACTATCCATCCTACCTGTACACAATGATGGGGCACTAATTCCTCACTGACACCTAATGATGGGGCACGTTTTTCCCACTGACCAAATCGATGGGGCACACGAATGCCTCCCACTGACATCAATGATAGGGCACTATTCTCCACTGGACCCCCAATGATGGGGCACTATATTCCCTCCCCTGACACCAATTGATTTTTTTTTTTTGTATGGGGCACTCTTCTCCCACTGACACCAATGATGCGGCACTATTCCTCCCACTGGACACTAATGATGGATGCACTATTCCTCCCCATGACACAATGATGGGACACATATTCCTCACCTGACACAATTGATGGGGCACGTTTCTTCCCACTGACACCAATTGATGGGGCACGTTTCTTACCACTGGACACCAATTGATGACGTGGAGAACGAATTCTCTCCACTGGACACCAATGATTTGGCACTTTCCCTTCCCCCACTGTCTCAATTGATGGAGGGCACTATTCCCCCCTGCCACACTGACACTAATGATGGGGCACTATTCCTCCACCCCACTGACACTAATGATGGGGCATCTATCTCCTCACCACTGACACTTAATTGATGTGGAGGCACTATTCCTCCACACCAATGCACTACCATTGGATGGAAGCACTTTTCCTCACCATCTGACACCATTGTATGGGGCACGTTTTACTTCACACTAACACCAATGATGGCGGCATATTCCTCCTCTGACACCAGTGGATGGGGCATCACGGGTCTTCCCTCTGACACCAGATGAATGGTTCTAGTATTCCTCCTCTGACACCAATGATGGGCACTCGTTTCTTCCCAATGACCCCATGTTGGGGCACGATTCCTCCCACTGACTCCAAATCATGGGGCTCGATTCCTCCCATGACCCAATGTCGTGGCATATTACTTTCTTACACTGACACAATGATGCCGGCCACCATTCCTCCCACTGACACACAATGATGGGGGCAACGATTCCTCCCCTGGACACCAATGATGGGTGGCACTATTCTCCCATTGACACCATTGATTGCAGGCACGTTTCTTCACTGACACCAATGATGGGGGGCACTGTTTCTTCCCTGACACCAACGATCGGTGGCTAGTATACTTCCCCTGACACCATTGATTGGGGGGGGCAGATTCTTCCCATTGAACACCAATGATGGCGCACGTTTCTTCCCACTGGACACAATGATGGGGACGATGTTACTTCCCACTGACACAAATGATGGGGGACGAGTTTCTTACCACTGACCACCAATGTATGGGGCCGCGCTGTGTGTCCATCCCCCTGACACCAATGATGCGGGCACGTTTTCTTCCCACTTGACACCAATGATGTGCATGTTTCTTCCCACTGAACACAATGATTGGGGCCACGTTTCTTCCACTGACCCCCAAATGTTGATGGGGGCACTATTCCTCCCCTCTGACACCAATGATGTTGGCATATTCTCCCATGACACAATGTTGGGGGCACATTTCCCCCACTGACACCCAATGATGAGGGCACGTTTCTTCCCACTGACCACAATGATGGGGCACGATTCTTCCACTTGACACCAATGATTGTGGACATATCCCTTCTCCACTGACACCAATGTTGGGGGGCCGGCACTATTCCCCCCCCCCACACCTGACACCAATAAATGGGCACTATTCCCCCCACAATGACAATAATGATGGACATGGGGGCACCCAGCGGGGGCAGGCACTGGCAGCACGCCCGCAGGCAATGGCATGTGGCACTGCATCTCCTGGGGCACGCGCGTTGCAGCAGCACACGGCCACTTTGGCCAGCACGGCAGCAGGCTTGGCAGCAGGCCACAGCATGCAGCTGCACTAGCGGCACTGCACTGGGGCGGGCAGGGGGAGCCGCATATTCACGCACGGCCCCCCAACCCAAGACGGCAGCACGCAAGGCCAGCGGGTAGGGCACTGCAGCAGGGCATGGGGGCGGCAGGGGCTACTGGCACTGCGGCAGCCACGGGGCCCACGCTACTGCAATGGGGCATGCAGGGGGGCGGGACTGGCGAGGCATGGGGCCCAGCAGGACACTGGGAACTATTCCTCCCACTGACATCCACTGACTGGAGGCAAACTATTATCTCACGGACACCCAATGGATGGGGCACGGTTCTTCCACACTGACACCAATGATGGGGCACGATTTCCTCCCACTGAAACCTATTATGGGGCACTATTCCTCACATTGTACACTCAATGATGCGGGCACTAATTTCTCACTGACACCAATCGATGGGGGCACTATTCTTCCCCTGACACCAATGATGGGGCACTATCTCCTCCCCTGACACAAATGATGGGGCACGTTTTCTTCCCATTGACAACAATGATGGGCCCATGTTATCTTCCCACTGGACACGCCATACGGATTGGGGCACGTTTCTTCCCACTGACACCCAATGATGGGGCACTATTTCCACTCCCCTGAACCAATGTTGTGGGGCCCGTTTCTTCCAATGACACCAATGATGGGGCACGTTTCTTCCACTGACACTACAATGATGGGGCACGATTCCTCCCATGACACAATTGATTGGCACTATACCTTCCCCACTGACACCAATGATGGTGGGCCACTATTCCCCCCCCACACTGACACTAATGATGGGGGCACTAATCCTCCCCCACTGACCCTACAATGATGGAGGCATATTTCTCCACTGACACCTAATGATGGGGGACACGTTTCTTCCACTGACACAATGATGGGGGGCACTATGTCTCTCAACGGTGGGGCACGTTTCTTACCACTGACACCAATGATGGGGCACGTTTTTCCCATGACACCAATGATGGTGGCACTATTCTCCCCTCCCATTGATGGGGCACGTGACACCATGATGGGGACGTTTCTTCCCACTGACACCAATGATGGGGCACGATTCCTCCACTGACACAATTGATGGGCAGATTCTCCACTGAACACAATGATGGGGCAACTATTCCTCCCCCATTGCACAATGATGTTGGTGGCACTATTCCCTCCCCCCACTGACCCAATGATGGGGCAACTATTCCTCCCCCACTGACACCAATGATGGGGCACTTATTTCTCTCCACTTGACACCAATGATGGGGCACGTTTCTTCCCACTGACACAATGTTGGTGCATGTTTTTCCATCTGACACCAACGATGGGGCACGTTTCATTCCCACTGCCAACCAATGTTGGGGCACTTTCCTCACTGACACCAAGGATGGGGTCCCGTTTCTTCCACTGACACACAATGATGGGCACGTTTCTTTCCCACTGACACCTCTCATGATGGGGCAACGATTCTCCCACTGACCAATGATGGGGCCCGATGTTTCTCCCACTGACACCAATGATTGGGGCAACTATTCCTCCCACTGACACCAAAGATGGGGCACGACTTATTATACCCCCCCCTGACACCAATATGCTGGGCACTATTCTTCCATGTCCCTTTTTTTTCCTTGACACCAATTGATGGGGCTACGTAATTCCCCTCCCACACTTGACACCAATGATGGTGGCACTATTCTTCCCTGACACAATGATGGGCACTTTTCCCCCCCCCACTGACACCAATGATGGGGCAACTTTTCTTCCCCCCACTGACCACCAATGATGGGGGCAACTATTTCCCACTGACACTAATGATGGGGCACTATTTCCTCCCACTGACACCAATGATGGGGCACTATTCCCCCACTGACACCAATGATGGGCACTTTCTTCCCACTCACACCATGGGAGAACTAAGTTCCCCACTTACACGCAATGATGCGTCACTATTTCGCTCCATAAGACACACTTGGGGGGAAATGTCTGTGCATCTTATGGAGCAGCCAGCCCAGTATTCCCGCCGCTGTTGTATGTCCGCAGTCTCTGGTCAATCTCCTGTACTGTGTCCGCATTTGTTCATAATTTTTTTTTTTCTCTAAACTATAGTCGGCCCCTTCATCTTGGTCTGAGGGGACAGTGAACTGGCCCCGTTTAAAAAGTTTGAGGACCACCTGGAGTACACTCTCAGCACAGTGAAATGTTTTACATAGGACACATATATGTGGCCATATGTGTTAGAGCCTACCCTCTGAGAGGCCGCATTTATGCATACAGCTGGTGGAAAGAGGTTCTTTTTCAAGTATCTCGCCAAGTTTAGTTAAAACTATCTGGTCTGTATCTGCTGGGTAAAGACTTTCATCACTTTGTTAAATAGAGGCACCACATCGCCTTATGCCAAACTAAAGACTTTAAGGGCCAGTTCATTACTACAATGCATTTCAGTTGCTTCTCGTTTCTGCATCCAAAAACGCACAAAGAAGGTTATATGGTTGTCAATGTCATAGTTTCACATCACCGCGCTTTGAAGTTCCAGTGCGTTCTGGTTGCAGCAAGAATAGCAGAAAAGCAGAACTGTACTAGAAAACACAAGTAAAACACATAAAACAAATGCACCAGAATGCACTGGAATGCACCAAAACACACGAATGCACATGTCCCTGTTTAAAATGAAGAGAAAGAGAGAGGAAAAAAATTAACCGGAGCGCATCAAAAAACGCGCATGCGGAAACGCATCTGGACTGCGTTTTCCATGGTGTGAACTGGCCCTAAGGGCCGGATGGCGTTCACACTACATGCAGCCCAGTGTGATTTTTCTGCATCCAAAAATGCAAAAGAATGGTCATCAATGGCATGGTTCACATCGATGCTTGCAGTTCCAGTGCGTTCCAGTTCCGGAAAAAAACAAGTAGAACATGCTGCATTTTTCCTGTACAGAACTGTACTGGAATGTGGTAAAATGCATCAAAAATGTACCGGGAAATGCATTGAAGAGCATCAAAAATGCACTGGACCCCAAATGGTCCAAAAAAAGGAGGAAAAAAAGCATCTGGAATGCAAAACAAAAATGCATCAAAAACGTGCATGCAAAAATTGCATCCAGACTGAGTTGTCTATGGTGTGAACTGGTCCTGAAGAGAGTAAATGTTTTAGTCTACAGTACTTTTATCTTTATTTCTAAAGTGCAAAGTAAAATCTAAAAATAAGACAGTGCTTACCTAACATTTGAAAGATCTTGTAATAAAAAGTGCTGATTTTATATGCTAAAAAGATGGTCAGATGTTCATAAAAACAGTTGTTGGTGCCGCATATGACAGCATTACTGTGCATGCATTTTGTGTGTGATTGAGTGAAGAAAGAAGAAAAACATTCAAAATATTTTGTACAAAATAAACAATCATTTAAAGTATACTGTATCTGAAGACAATTAAAAAAAAATAACTGAAGTAGGGGAGCGTTCAAACCAATGTTTTTTGTCATCTGTGTCTCATTATGGAGATTTTCCTTCATTTCCTTGTCTTGTATAGAGTTCTTATGGCATAAGTGTCCCCATTGAAAGCTTTCCCCTCTATTATCTGTTCTGAGGGTAACTCAAAATTTTGGATTTACCCTCCCTTTTATTGGCAGTAATCAGGACAATAAAAAGAGTGTATTGCCGTAATGGCAGAACAAATACCTGACAGGGTATCCAAATCTAATAGAGAAGTTTTATCCTTAGACATGCATTTTTTCATCTGCTATATAATATTTATAGATATTCTTAATTCTGTCCATTACAGGATATATTTTAGCATTTATTCTGCAATTCTTCCTTTTAAATTAGCATGCAGACATTCCCTTGGTACAGAAAAAAAATATACTGTTTTCAATCACACTGAATTATTTTTCAAATTTCAGGTATGGCAAACCGGGGTGTAATGCGGAGACCTGTGATTACTTCCTCAGCTATCGCCGTATTGGTGCCGATGTGGAGTTTGAGCTCAGTGCTGACACTGATGGATGGGTAGCTGTTGGGTTTTCCTCGGACAAAAAAATGGTAAACAAAAAAAACCTGTTACACGATGTGTTTAAAATACTCCTAAAAAGATCTGGCCATAGTATTCAGAACTACACTCCATTGTATATGTTGTATATGCAATGCAGCTCGCAGAAACTGCTGGTACAAGAGAGGACAAAGTAGCAAACATTTTTACATGAGGAAGATGTTTAGCTTCAAAGTAAGTCATTCATTTATATGACGTTGAGTCAAATTAGGTTGGTTGCAAGTAAGCAGTGTGTGGCAGGTATAATCCCTCTCTCACACGGGCGATTAGTTGCATCAGCGGATTCTTGCGGCTGGGATCATAGGTGTTCGGCTACGTTCACACTAGCCTTGTTAGCAAGCGGCAGACAGGTGTTTGGGAAGCGTTTTTACCGTTTCCCAAACGCCTGGGAAAATTCTGCACATTGCAGCACATAGTGCTGTTCAAACGGGAGCCTTAGCATCACGTCGCGGCAAAACGGACGCCTCTGATCGAGTCAGGAGGAGTTGAAGCCTCCTATTCAAGTATATGGTGCCGCACCGCAAACACCCAGCCGGCGTTTGCGGTGCGGTTGCAAGGCGTTTGCGGAGCGGTAACACCATTCAAACTTCATTATAGGCGTTTGTGAGGCGTTTTTAACACTTGGCAAACGCCTAGCAACCGCCGCTAAACTGCGCATGTGGCATTTGCGGAGCGTTAAAAACGCCCCACAAACGCTGGACCAATGCTTGTCAAACGCTATAGGGGCCTTTGCAACGAGTTGGAAAAACAGTCAAGTGTGAATGAGCCCTAAGTTAACAGTTGTGGCTGGGAAGTTTGTACAAAGTAATGAGAGGCTGAGCAGACTTGCTGCTGTTCATAGGTATTTGCACATCCAGCAAAGAAAGTATCAGGGAATTTTTTAAACACAAAAGGTTGTTTTTGGTTCAATGGACTTCAATGGAGAAGCTGCAGAAAATGCATTTAGTGCTGCTCAGCAACAAGTTTGCCCAAAAAAGGAAACACATAAAAAATGCATGTGAAAAAACGCAAATCACACTGCAAAAAAGACAAAACGCATACTGCATTGGTGCAAACCAGGCGTAAAGAAGGTGTGTCAGCTAGTCCATTCACCGTATGTACATTAGTCAGCTAAAAGGGTTCCAAATAAGCCACGTAATCTGCCTGAAGTGCAGGTGCATTAAAAAAAATATCCAAGATGATTTTAAGGATAAATTCACCTTTCTGAACATGTCACAAAAATATTTTGGGTGTAACATGTCACATGTTCAGCACCAGCCCCTCTCCACCCCTCCTTGTGGCAACGTGCTGGGGATCTTTTCCCCATACTCTTGCCACAATTCAAAGAGAGCATGGCTGTGCGGGGCTGTGCCCACAGGGTGGCGTCAATGATTGACAGATCCCTGTGAATCAATGAATTACCATGGGCAGTTTACACTGACAGTCTGCAGGAAACCTGCATGGCATCAGCGATCTGCAGATTTACTATTTTTGGCTCCTAAAACCAAAAATAGTAAATGCACATTTTTTTACCTGCAAAAACATGTCTATTTATAATTTTTTGTTAAAAGCTGAACTTATTGTTTAAATATGTCAAAAGGAGCAGTCCTAAAAATAATTGCAGGATATGCCAAACATGAACAGCCTGCACTGGCAAAGAGAATGCTTTCTGACCAAGACAGGTGCACACTTAAAGCTGAAGTTTAATGATAGGTCAGCTGCAGCTATTCCGCACAGCCAGTGATTGCAGACAGTGATCGCTGCTGGATGATCACCTTAGGTCAGGGGTGGGCAACTGTGGCCCTCCAGCTGTTGTAGAACTACAAGTCCCATGAGGCATTGCAAAACTGACAGTTACAAGCATGACTCCCAAAGGCAGAGGCATGATGGAACTTGTAGATCACCAACAGCTGGAGGGCCACAGTTGCCCACCCCTGCCTTAGGTAATCGCTGGCTGTGCGGATACCTGCAAATAGCTGCAACTGCCAGCGACCTGTGATTATATTTAACGGGGCCAGCGGCCGCACCTAGCTGCTAAGAGCTGCAGAAGGGATCTCTGATTGTTGTCCCTAGTTTGTACCAGCCTTCATCGTCAGTGTGAATGTAGCCTAAAACAAAGCATGTGCTCGGTGTTCATGTATATTGTGAAATGGTTTTCTAACAGTTATACCATAGTAAGAGATACATGTACAGTGGGGATCGAAAGTTTGGGCACCCCAGCTAAAAATTTGTATTAATGTGCATAAAGAAGCCAAGGAAAGATGGAAAAAATCTCCAAAAGGCATCAAATTACAGATTAGACATTCTTGGAAATAAAATCTAACTTTTGTTGACATATTATAAGAATGTCTAATCTGTAATTTGATGCCTTTTGAAGATTTTTCCATCTTTCCTTGGCTTCTTTATGCACATTAATACAAATTTTTAGTGGGGTGCCCAAACTTTCGATCCCCACTGTATGAACAAAAGATTAAATGGCAGTTGTGAACAAGATGTGCTTCAAATATGCTACTAAGAAATCTGTGCTCTTTAACCTCTTGCTGAGTGCTGATTGCATATATGTGGCAGCAAGAATGGTGGGTTTTAATACCCAGCCACTGCACATATGCGTTCACGACAGCAGGAGGCTGTGTTCCTGGAGCGTGCTCACAGGAACGCTCCCAGCACACTGACCCAGCTGTCACTGACAGCTCTCAGGCAATGCTTCTGATAAGGAGCCTGTGGAACAGGCTCCTGATCAGGGGCGGACTGACAACTCATGGGGCCCCCGGGCAATAGGGATCATGGGGCCCCTGTGTCCTTGCTCAAACTCAAAAAAGCCTATGAAAAAGGTACCAGGGACATCTCATAGGGCCCCCTACTGACCCCGGGCCCTTGGGCAGTGCCCGAGTTTCCATATGGTCAGTCCGCCTCTGCTCCTGATCATTTGGCCACTGTGGGATTCAATCACGATGGCATTAAGGGGTTAACTACAAAGGTAAAAAGAAGGGTCTTAATCCCATAACACAGCCCTAGTCATACCTGGGCATATTTATTAACATCAAGAAAAGCAGGGAAAATGCAATATCCGTTTCAACCAATAGTTTATTGTATTGACGCCTGTGAATAGTAGCCTGATTGGATGATATGGGTTTTGCACAGCGCCATTTATCCTTTGACTGTTTTACTGAGTAAGTCTGGTTGTGTGATGATTAATGTGATGTTATCTAGGGGCTTTACATTTTCATTTTTATTATTAGTTTGCATAGTGATATCATCTTCATCATCTCCTGTGGTACTGTACAAAGTAATAGATATTACAAAGGCAGCTAGTGCAGGTTATATAATACTAAAATGTTTCAAACACTAATATATACATACATTTAGCAGAACCCAGGAGCAGGAGCCTGTTCATGTTGTCATTATATTGTTGACCCAATACAGTTACTCTGTATATTTCAGCTCTTATTGAGAACTTTCTGTTTCAGGGAGGCGATGATGTCATGGCCTGCGTACATGATGATAATGGGAGAGTACGCATCCAGCATTTTTATAATGTTGGCCAGTGGGCTAAAGAAATTCAAAGAAACCCAGCTAGAGATGAGGAAGGTGTGTTTGAGAACAATCGAGTGACTTGTCGGTTTAAACGCCCTGTGTACGTTCCCAGAGATGAGACAATCGTGGATTTGCACTTAAGTTGGTACTATCTGTTTGCCTGGGGACCAGCAATTCAAGGTAAGAAATTCATAATAATCTGTTTATGTTATGATATGTTACAGATTTACAACTATTATTAGTATTAGCCTCCATTCACACAGGCACTTGAGACCCATACACTGTAAATGAGGTGTTGGTATTTGTGGCTGTAGCTGCTTGGAACTGTGTGCAGGCTGCCTATGGTAAGTGAATGCAGACGCAGTGGTTGTACAGACACAGCCGCACGGCCAAATTTGACAGGCGTGTAGGAGCAGGTGTGAGGCTCTGAATGTAGATGCTGGGATAGCACAACTCCTACTGTACTTTCTGGTTGCTCAGGATCCTATAGACCCCCAGCCTGTAGTAGTGTCCGTACCAACCACACAATACACAGCCCCAGACCTTGTGTTGTGAATAGCCAGAAAGAGAGCGGGGTCAATGAGACCTGCAGAGCTTACATCCTTTGCCTGCATTCACACCTGAGCAGGGGCGGACTGGACTGACCATTTGGAAACTCAGGCACTGCCTGAGGGCCCGGGGTCAGTAGGGGGCCCCATGAGATGCCCCTGGTACCTTTTTCATAGGCTTTTTTGAATTTGGGCAAGGACACAGGGGCCCCATGATCCCGTATTGCCCGGGGGCCCCATGAGTTGTCAGTCCGCCCCTGCACCTGAGTGTAGCGATTTACTGGTGTTTTTATTTGAGAGTTTTTGAGCATTTTTGGAAGTGTATTACAAGCATTTTACAGCTTCAGGCATTCTTGTTTAGCCAACAGAAAGCACTAGAGCAGTGGTTCTCAACCTTCCTAATGCCGTGACCCTTTAATACAGTTCCTCATGTTGTGGTGACCCCCAACCATAAAATTATTTACCCAGTAATTATAATTCATGAGTGTCGTTTTACCTCCAATACTGCTGCTTTCAACACAGTAGCTGCTTTTAACAGAGTAGCTGCTTTCAACACAGCAGGTGCTTTCTACACAGTAGCTGCTCTTTACACATCGGAAATATGTGTTTTCTGCTGGTCTTAGGGGACCCCTGTGAAAGAGTCGTTCGACCCCAAAAGGGGTCGCGACCCACAGGTTGAGAACCACTGCACTAGAGGGAGGAGAGGGGGAGGAAATTAGGGGTAGAGAGTTTGAGCAGAAAATGTACTACAAAATGCTTGCAAAATGCTCAAGTCACATGTTTTCAGGCGTTTCTATGAAGTCTATGAGACCAAAAACGTTTGAAATCTGGCAAAAAGAAGCTCATGTACTTTTTTTTTTTTTGTTTTGCTTCAGGCGACAGAATGCTAATATGTGAACAGGGGCCATTAAAATGAATGGGATTTGGCTTGTTGAGCGTTTAAGAGCTACTTGCTTCAAGCAGAAAATAGCTCAGGTGTGAATGCAGCCTAAGTGGCCAGGAAGTACAGCGGGAGCCATACCAGTCCTGGCATATAGACAAACTGATTGGTAGCACATAGAAGTAAACTGGCATGACAATGATTTGCTTCTGAGGAAAAGGAATTTCTTGCTGCTATAAACTAGCTTAATTATGCCCAGATTTGGTTTTCAAACATATTAGAGATGCTCTGATACCCTTTGTTAATCGGTGAGTATGAGTACTGATACTTTAGGTCAACTACACGCTGATACCGATTACCGATACTTTGCGGTGCAATTTGCGTCAATACAAAATGTATGCGTGCAAATTGCTCCGCAAAGAATAGCGTGCGATTCCTGCCAAAATCGCATGTGGTTTCACCACTGCCTCGGTGTGAACTCAGGCTGTCCTAGCCGGACTTCACACAGGAGTGGTGCAGGGAGGTTTCCTGCAGCAGATAGTGGGCATGTGGGGATGTATACTATGGTGGCAGATGCTCCATATTCTCAGTGTTAGGAGAGAAGAAAAAGAGGCGGGGATTAAAAATGCCCGCTACTTTTTCTCCTCTCCTTGCAGGTATGACAGTTCGGGCTAGAGGGCTTTTCATTGGTCAGCACCAGCACATAGACGGTGCTGACTAATCAGATGCCATCTTGCCCATACTGTCATCCCTGTAAGGAGAGGAGAAAAAGCTGCTTCACAGGTCTAGAGATTTTAAATTCCTGCAGCTTTCTCTCCTCTCCTTGCAGCAATGATAGTGCGGCTAGGCTGCATCTGATTGGTCTGCACAGTCGATGTGACTGTTGACCAATCAAAAGCCCTCTAGCCCAAACTGTCATCCCTGCATGGAGAGCAGAGAAAGCGGTGGGGATTTCTAATCCCCGACGCTTTTTCTCCTCTCCTCCTGCTGATAATATGGACCATCCACTTCCATAGTATACATCCCCACAAGCCCACTCTCCTCTCAGCATGGGATGCCTGCAGGGAGATTTCCCGCACCTCCTCCCTCTCTCCTGTGTGAACTCAAACTATGACAAATCTATGACAAACTATGACAGGAGCAGTGGGGAAAACGCATGTAATTTGAACAGGAATTGCATTTCTGTTCAAATTGCATGCTAATCTTTGTGGTGCAATGCTTGAGGGCCCAGGGTCAGTAGGGGGCCCCATGAAATGCCCCTGATACCTTTTTATAGGCTTTTTTGGGTGTGCTTTGAGTATTTTGATGCAAATCGCATCTCAGAGTATCGGTTTTTTTCGATATCATAGATATTTCTTTATTCATGCTTTTTTTCCTTTCACCTGGTAATCCTACAAGTAACACACTTTCTGTCCCTTCATTTCTACACTCATTGCTCCATTGTATCTATGGGGGCCTTTGCCTCGTCGCCTTTTGTTCATTTTCATTACATGGTGGCTTTATGGGACTGGCAGGGGCGGACTGACCATTCGAGCACTTGGGCACTGCCCGAGGGCCCGGGGTCAGTAGGGGGCCCCATGAAATGCCCGATTACCTTTTTTTATAGGCTTTTTTGGGTGTGCTTTGAGTGTGGGCAAGGACATCCCCCCCTATTGCCGGGGGCCCCATGAGTTGTCAGTCTGCCCCTGGGGACTGGTATTTTACACAATAAAGATAAGATTCATTGTGCTTTCTTTAAAGCTCACAGGGAGTGGCAAGGACACTGCATATCTGGCAAATTAATGGATAAGTTCACCTTTTGGAGTATGTTACACGTTACACCCATATTTAGGGTGTAGCATGTAACATGCTCCAGCACATGTCTTCCTCACCCTCACCCCATCTCCAAACCACTACAAGTCGTCTTCCACTGCGGCAGATGGCTTGTAGTCCTCCATGAATGGCAAGGGCACTGATAAGCTCACTGGTAGTTCATTCACAAGCCCTGCACCTTTCAAATTGACAGTCTGCATGGCTTGTCTGCAGAAGCCTGACATTGCACCCCGGATCCACTGCTTACAGGTACAATGCTTTGCAGGCTCATATGGGAATATTAATAAATGCACTTTTTTCTGCAAAAATACGTGCCTGTATTATTTTTTCCCAATAGGTGACCTTAGAGTCTTTAACAGGTATTTTCTGTGCTTTCTAAAAATGTTTTTTGCCTGAAAACCAAAAAAACTAATGCAGTCACCACATCTAAGCACTGGTAAGCTGAAATATATGAAATATAGTTGTTTTTTGGGTTCTGATGCACGTTCAGTAGTAATTTTCCCTACAATTCCATTATCATGAATTGTGCTCATGGAGATTGCATACAGTTACATGAGTAAGGTTAAATATATATGTGAAGCATATAAAAAATAAGGTAAAAAAAGATTAAGTATATGCCTGAAAAGAACTATTGCTCAAATGTCTATGAAATTTGAAAATGCTCTTGCTAAAAAAAAAAGACTTTTGCTGCCTAGAACATACCACCATTATGTACAGAGCTATTACCATCAAATCCCTATCTTCTCTCCACACCCAGCCTGTTGGAAAGGAATGCTATAATTCTCTGCACATCACAACTCAACATCCAAATACATGAGTGTTTACTTTCACTGCGATTACATATTACGTATGCATCACATGTCACTTCATCCTGCTCTTCAATGCACTTCTAGTCCTTTCTAACTGTTACCAGCCAGATCCAGAACAGACTGACAGACTTGTGATAAAGACTTTTATGTATGCTGTTAATGTGAATTACTGTGAATTTTTTTTTTTCGGTATTTTAAAGCCCAACTGAACTTTAAGTTTAAATCCGAATGTTATTTAAACTGAACGTTGAAATTGAGCTTTAATGCAGTAAAAGGATGTTGCATTTATGGTGCTGGCTGGGGATTTTGTATGGAGAAACCCAGCAACCAAATCCCTCTGCAGTTTTAAAACACAAGTTTTCATACATAAAGTCATGATATAATTGATATCTTTCTTGCAATCTTCCAGGTTCTATAACAAGACATGATATTGATGCCCCTCCGGTCTCAGAGAATGTTGTGAGCATTTACCGTTATGAGGATATTTTTATGCCTTCAGCAGCCTACCAAACCTTCTCTTCTCCTTTTTGTCTTCTGCTGATTGTTGCTTTGACCTTTTATCTGCTAATGGGAACCCCCTAAGACTACAGTTGTTAACCTTTGGAAATGACACACGCTATGAGGAGGTTTTGTTCTCTTTATTGTGCTAGATATTTTCTGCTGGTATCTTCTGCTGGGACAATCGGTTACATGTTATTATATGATTTATTATATTGCAGATGTGGAAGATGGATGTTATGCAATCAAAACATGTGCCAAGACAAAGAGCAACGTAGGTGTTAAACTGCGAAAGGTGACCATGCAATATACAGCCGGATTGCACAATCTCACTTAGATCTACCATCAACTATGTAGTACAAGGGCCTGCCTGATTTGACACTAATGGAATTAGTTGTTTAGGTTTGTCCTCATTCTGCAAAGTTTTGGTAGCGCTAAAGAAGAATAAAGTAGAACTAAAAGGTAAAATTTCTTTTTTTTTTTTCATTTTGGATAGAGTAAAGGAAGGTTATAAGCCCTGCTGTTTTTTGGGGTTTTTTTTTTTTGCATCCCGTTGGAGCGATTTCCCTTCTACAAACCGCAATAAAACCTGACATGTTCTACTCCCTCTCCACTCTATCCAAGACTCAAAAAAATTGACTTTAGCTACACTTTAAGATCAGATTGTATAATGCATGGCCAGCTTAAATCCTTGAATTTGCATTCAATATCTACTGCATACTTTATATTGTTTTTAGGCATCTGCTATAGATTTTAGATATGAGTGATGCAGCATTTCATCTGTGTAATACAGATGTCGTGATCATATATTTCTCCCAGTAACAAGCAATTTGTTAATATGGAGCCATTCTGTGCTGACTATACAGCCATAAAACACTGTTTTTTGTTAGTGGATTAGTCATATATCAGTAATAAAACCTACTGCCATAGCATCCCACATGATTGTCATGAGACTGTTGGCAGTTGGAGCATAGGGAGATCTGGATCTCTATTCTACATTACCCGTGGTTCAGCAGGCAAGCTGGTGGAATCAGTGAATACTGATGACATATGCAATCTTTGTAGAGGCTTGTGAGATGCAGAACATCAATTTAAAAAGTGACTGACTATGCTTCTAAATTTTCCGTCAGACCATCATCTTGCCTGCTAGACCATGGAGGTATGTACAGCTCCCAATATATTTAAACACATATCAGACTGCTGAAAATGATAAGAAGTGGTGAAACTTTACAGTGGAACTAAACCTTCCTCTCCTTTTCAGCCAAGGAAGCTGCCATCTTAGCCTCTGTTTGACCTACAACAGCCATGATGCTGCACATGTGATCAGTTATGACCTCACCCATTTGTTGGTTTGACAGTTTGGTTGAGAGTACAAGCAAATGTAACAGTTACCATTCCTGCCATGCCTGGAATGTAACTGTCTTTTGAAACTGTTAAATCAATTGGATTAGTTATGCTTTAAATAACAACCTTTTCTTTATGTTACAACACTTTTCAAAACAACAAAAATTACATATTTAACATTTTTTTTGTTACTTGCTATATATTACATCAACTATACACAGCACAGTAGTGAATCACTAAATTAACTAAAGAGTAGAGATGAGTTTGGACGTTTTTGGACTGAGATCCAAAATGTGATTGAGCCTGCCAGGAAATTGTCACCTACTGTATATGGGCCAATCATCTGCGGCCATGGCATTCCCCGCCCCACAGCTGCATGTTACAAGGGTCATATATATGGTATGGGCCGCAGATGATTGGCTGGGAGCATGCACATGTGGATTGGATTCTAGTCCAAATAAGCCCAAGCTCCTCACTGCCAAGGAGGATGTTTAAAGTCTCATGTTTCACAGTAGAATTTTATGTTTCTGTTTAGGTATGGGTAAGGTAAGCCATTCTCATCTGGATTTGACATCTTAAATGAAAGATCCAAGTGTCTAACCCGCTGGTGAAATGTCTGGAAATTAATCTGTATATAACATGCAAGTGGGCTATATATTGTTTAGTCTTTACTAATTTCTACATAAATTGAAAGGAATGTATTGTTTTGTATAAAGTTTTGGAATCGTATAATAAAGTATCAGCTGTTTTTTATTCACTTTGTTGGAATAATTGCATTCTTTTTTAGAAGAAAAAAAAGTTTGCATAGTAGGTAAACAGGAATGTAACCACTGATGCGGAGCACAGAAATCCACACCCTATTGGGCCCAGTTATAACAAATTTGAAAATCAAATGTCTCAGCATTTGTGCTAAAGTCACAGATAATGCATATAATGTGTGTGTTTCTACTTCTTTCCTTCCGCAGGCCGAATGTAACATTCCCTAACATCCGATCCTAAGAGCAAATGACCTCAAGAACATTTGCCCAGATAAGTTAAAGTGGTTCTAAAGGTAGAAGGTTTTTTTTTTTACCTTACTGCATTCTATGTAGTAAGGTAAAAAAAAGCTTATGAGTGCAGCTCCCCCAGCCCCCCCCATACACCTGAGCCCCCCCTCTCATTGGACCTATATCCATCACAGCCAGTGAGCTCCATGTCGATCCAGTGATGTGCATGAGAATCATAAGCATGTCGCTCGGGTCCTGGCTGGAGGGGGAACAGAGGCCAGCCTCTCTCTCATTGGGCGGCGTGGCCGTGATGACATTGGCTCCTGCTGCTATCAATCACAGCCAGTGAGCCAATGAGCGGGGGCATCCCAGGGTGCCACGCGACGTGTTTCGGAATGCACTGGCGTGGAAGGCCAACGTCCATTCACAGGTGCGCAGCTTGGGAGCAGGGAAGCCTTGCCCTCAGTGCCTGCTTGAGTGCCTGTTACCCCCTTCCTCATTTTCTCTGAGCAAGAGGCCAACGTCCATAGGTGGGAGGGCCTGCTTGAGTGCCCCCATAAAGAGGTGCCCAGCGGCCAGGGGGAACCCAAAAAAAAAAAGAGGATCAGGGCTGCTCTGTTCAAAATTATTGGACAGAGCAGGTAAGTTTTTTCCCCCTAACGTCTTTCAGGACAGCACCCTTGAGAGACCTCAGCTCCTCTCCATCTGAGGAAACACCACCTCCACCCAGATTAAAATGTGGCCTCCCTACTAGGACCTCAGTAATGGTGTTTCCTCCGGCGGGGAGATATGAGTGGAAGTCCTTCCAGGGCATCTAGGAGCTACGCTTACCTGGGGGATGGAGGTGGAGGACCGAGATGCGGTGCTTTCTGTTGGTTTTTCCCTCAAGTAGTGGGGAGGAGGGGGCCCGGTTCAGTCCTCTGGTGGCAGAGGAGGGGGGTCCCTTACCTCCAGTACACTGACCTGGCCTCCACCTGGGAAGGAGAGGAGTGTCGGGTGTCCACTGGTCACTGGCCCTGGGGGGGTCCTCAGGAGGAGTGCCGCTGCTCCATGTAGACACTGGGGGTGGAGTTTTGGCGGGCCGGATGGCAGGGGACGTCATTCCCGGTTTGAGGGCGGGACTTCCTCCTGATGTGCGGCTTCTGGTCGCAGTACCGTGATAGTGGGTGGGAGAGCGGGCTGGTGCAGGGAGATGCAGCCTGCAGAGGCAGACCCGGGGCAGACCACCACACTTGGACCATGTCCAGAGTGGAGGTACCGGGACCAGGTGATGCATTAGCCAGACACAGGTAGGCAGCTCAGAGGGGCCTTTTCCATACCTGTTGGACCCCAAGCTAAGGAGATTCCCACGGCCTGTCAGGCGCTTCACTGTTGGGGGGGGGCCTGGAAGGCTATGGTGTAATGGGCGGCCTTTTCTGTGTGTTTTCTGTTTTAGATGAAAGCCAGAGAGAAGCCCAAGCTGCACCACAGGACTAAAAAGAAGTGTCCCTCTTGTAGGGTGACACTTAGAGACTCTTGGACCAAGGTATTACGTGGGTCTCATATTGAGAGCCTTATTAAGGAGGAAGCTCCTTCCCAGGGGACTTGGTTTAGTCAGTTAAGGAGTGGACGGACACATTTGATTCTTTTAGGTCCCTGGTTGAGAAATTTCTGCCCTAAGCAGAGAGCTCCCCCCCCCCCCCCCAACAGGTCGAGGCATCGGTCCTTAAGGTTTCCCCAGCGACCAGTAGGGAAGTGGTGGGTCAGAGGGCTGAATTAGAGGAGGAGGATCTGTCCCTGGACTCAGATTCTCAGGCAGACTTATCCTCGTTGGATGTTGCCATACCGACAGGATCTTCTCTCGCAGGTACCGGTCCTATGTCCCCAGGTGGGCAGGTGGAATATAGCGGCTTGGTTTCTGTAGAACAGCTGCTGATGAGGAAAGAGTTTTCTGCTAGGGTAGTATCGGCCCTCTTAAATAGTAGAAAGGAGGAGACTCGTTCAATCCACCTTAAGATTTAAAAACTTTTTAACAGGTGGTGCGTCCAAACTTTCTCGGAAGTGCATAGTTTAGTGGCAGTCCTGGAATTCCTGCAGGCTGGGGCAGACAAAGGGCTAGCAGTGAGTAAGCTAAAGTGCCAGGTCTCACCGCTTAGCGTATTTCTGGAGTCTCCCTTGGCCAGGGACGAGCTTGTGGTGAGGTTTTTTAAGTCTTTGACCAGACAAAAGCTAATGAGGGAGTGGCCATTTCCTAAATTGGACCTGATGACTGTGTGTCAAACATGCGTTGACAGGTTCCTCGTTTGAGCCCTTGGATTCGGGTTCCCTCAGAAATTTGACCCTTAAGATAGTATTTCTGGTAGCTATTACCATAGCAAGGAGGGTGAGTGAGTTGGAAGCCCTATCTGTCAGGGCTCCTTTCCTCCAGATTTTTTCATATAGGGTAATAGTCAGGACAGACCCGACTTTTTTACCAAGATGGCCTCGAGTTTTCATGGGGGCCAATAAATTACCATGTTTTGTGCTAATCCTTCGTGTGACCAGGAAAGGAAATTTCACACGTTAGATGTTAAGAGGTGTATTTTTGTTTATTAGATAGGACTAAAGATATTAGGAAATCAGATTCCCTTTTTGTATTATTTTCAGGGGCGAGAAAGGGTTGTAAGGCCTCTAGATGCACCTTGGCTAAGTGGCTGAGACTGGCAATTAGACAGGCATATCTGGCAGAAGGTCTAGAAGTCCCAGAAGGCATTGTGGCTCACTCTACCCGGGCCA